GGAGATAATACAGGTCAAGTTCCTAACCATAGTAGGTGTTATAATAGCTATTCCAGAGCCAGCACTTCATACTCATTTATGTCATGCCTGATCCAGCTCCTTTGCTCCATGGCATAGGAAGTGATTTTAAGAATCTTACAACTCCCTGCAGCTTCCAGGCATGATTTAGTGGGGTACAGGCACTGAGTGATGATTAAAGAATATAGCAAACTCTGGCACAAAATGTTAGAAGACCAGCCAATGGACAATTCTCCATCCCTGGCCCAGAGGACTAAATGGAGACCCCTTGGTTAAGCCCATTTAATTACCTGTCTGGATGAACTGTCAGAAGGAGCCCAAGCCCTGGCAGCTGACCCCTTCCCCAAGTTGCACAGTGATCCTTGCTTTGCAAACTCAAGGCTAATAAGTCCTTGGAGGAGGCTGGAGTACAATCCCATCTATGAAGGCAGGGCTGGCTGGAGATGGTTATTCATATACTCATTCACTGAAAAAAATGTGAAAACCACTCAAAACCTCTGAGAAATTAAAGTTGGTTTTCATAAGGCTGCTTCCCCCGGCCTTCTGCTCATCTGGTATAACCTGTGCATGCTACATACTTATTTGAACAGCGGTATGTAGGAGAGGAAGGATGAAAGAGTGGAATAAAATGTTGTCGACATCTGCCTTGTGACTTAGAAAATAAATATGATGCCATGCCATTAAGGGATTCTTCTGAGAAAAATGAAGTTATTGCACAAAGAAACAGATTCTTAGAAAGACTGAAAAATTTGCTTGCACTTCTAAAACTGCTGAGTATGATGAAGAAATGAGATGCGCCATCGCATTGCCATTCAGGACAGGTTCTAAAATGTTTCCCTGACTCAGGGCCAGATTTTGGTAAAGAGAATGAAGAGAATGAGTCTGGTTTACCATGTGATTCTTTTACTCAATCTTCCATTCACATACACACACACACCAACTATTAGCAACATCATGAATTCCTTCACTTCTCCTGCTTAGTTCCTTCCTTCCTTCCTTCCTTCCTTCCTTCCTTCCTTCCTTCCTTCCTACCTTCCTCCCTCCGTCCCCTCCTCCCTTCCCTCCTTCCCTCCCTCCCTTCCTCCCTCTGTCCCTCCCTCCCTCCCTTCTTTCTGTCCGTCCTTTCTTTCTTATTTTTGAGATAGAGTATCACTTTGTCACCCAGGCTGGAGTGCAGTGGTGTGATCTCGGCTCACTGCAACCTCCGCCTCCTGGGTTCAAGCAGTTTTGTTCCTCAGCCTTCCAAGGAGCTGGGATTACAGGTGCCTGTCATCATGCCCAGCTAATTTTTTTTTTTTTTTTTTTTTTTTTTTTAGTAGAGACAGGGTTTCACCATGTTGGCCGGGCTGGTCTTGAACTCCTGGCTTCAGGTGATCCACCTGCCTCGGCTTCCCAAAGTGCTGGGATTATCAATGTGAGCCACCACGCCTGGCTTTTAACTTTTTTTTTGAAAAGGTCTCGCTCTGTCACCCAGACTGGAGCGCAGTGGCACAATCTCAGCTCACTGCAGCCTTGACCTCCCAGGCTCAAGTGATTCTCCCACCTCAGCCTCCCCAGTAGCTGGGACTACAGGCAAGCACCACCACGCCCACCTAATTTTTGTAGTTTTTGTAGAGATGGGGTTTCACCATGACGGCCAGGCTGGCCTCGAATTCTTGGGCCTGAGACATCCTCCTGCCTTGGCCTCCCAAAGTGCTAGGATTATAGGCATAAACCACCATGCTGGCCTCTCTCTTAATCCAGTAAGTTTTAGGCTTTTCAGCCAACCTGTAGATTATCTAACGCAGTGAAGGAGTTTTGTCTTTTATTACCCAGAGCACTTGGTGCAGGAGGCAGCTCTACCTCCAGGCGGGGTTTGTTGGGAAAGGATTCAGATGAGAAGTGATGCTTGAGCTGAGTCTTAAAGGAGGTGTTTTCCAGGTAAAGGAGGCAGGGAAAGAAAACCCAGGGGGAGTATGGAGGTGAGAAAGAGGCTAGTGGAAGGTCCAGGTGCATAATCTGGCTGTGCTAGTGCCAGGGCATGGGTGATGGTTCCCAGCTGGAAGGAAGGCTAGACTTGGAGCTCGGAACCAGGTACCAAGTGCCCTATGGCCCCTGCAGGTATGTCCTGCGGCCAACCAGGATCGTTTGGAAGATTTTAAGCCGAGGGTTAGGGGTAGGATGGACTCAGATTTGGGGACCTCAGTGGGGAACCTGATCACATTTGCTTTTTGGAAAGTGACTGTGACAGAAACGTAAGCCATGGGTAAGTCTTCAACCTGAGCCTCAGTTTCCTCATTTCCCAAGAAGGAGCAATAGATGTGCATGAAGACTGGAAGAGATGATGTATGTGAAAAGTGGTATATGTCAACTATTATATGACTTTGAGTCATGAATCGGGTAACATGCTTACTGTCTCAAGAAGAGATCAGTTTTGTCATCTGGGGCAAAACACACATGCTTGGTATTGTTTCTTGATTTATACAGCTGTCTGTTTCCTTAAACTTTTTTTTTTTTTTTTAATGGGAGCAGCTATTACTACTTTTTGTCTGTTTCAGCTTAAACTCTGTTACAAATTGGAAGGACCGAGTTGTTGAACATGGATTGTAGAAAAGGAAAAGAAAGTTTTTATTTTTTGCCTTGTTGTGCATTCATTCTTTCAAAAGCCATTTAGAGTAAGAAACATTTTCTATCTTCTCATAGTAAGTAGCAAGTCAGGTGCCTGAAGACCCCATCATATTTTACTAAAACTCTCCACTCCAAAAGAGCATCAGTTCTGTGTAGGTGAATAGAAATCTGGTGTGTAGGCTGGGCACGGTGACTCATGCCTGTAATCCCAGCACTTTGGGAGGCTGAGGCAGGTGGATCACCTGAGGTCAGGAGTTCGAGACCAGTCTGGTCAAAATGGCGAAACCCTGTCTCTACTAAAAATACAAAAATTAGGCCGGGCGCGGTGGCTCAAGCCTGTAATCCCAGCACTTTGGGAGGCTGAGGCAGGTGGATCACCTGAGGTCAGGAGTTCGAGACCAGTCTGGTCAAAATGGCGAAACCCTGTCTCTACTAAAAATACAAAAATTAGCTGGGCGTGGTGGCACGCACCTGTAGTCCCAGCTACTCCAGAGGCTGAGGTGGGAGAGTCCCTTGAACCTGGGAGGTAGAGATTGCAGTGAGCCGAGATCGCGCCACTGCACTCCAGCCTGGGTGACGGAGCGAGACTCTGTCTTAAAAACAAAAACAAACAAAAAACAAACCTGGTATGTAAATAGCCAAATATAGAGACATACAGGAGGCATCTTATAATGTGTGATTATTCATCTGATTTTATTCAGTGTGCTATTAAGAAGGACCCTTGCTTCTAAAGAAAATTAGAACATTTTCAAAGCTTGCATGTGAATCCTGTCTACTCAGTGATGGACTGACTCAGGAAACCACATCACCTCCCCAAGCCCCAGTCCCTGTGAAATGGGGAGTGTAGTAAGACCTACTTCCCAGGGCTGTTGGGAGGATCAGGTGAGACAATCTGATTGAAGCACTTTGACCAGTGCCTGATAAATAACACGCATTCGGTAAGTTATTATTAGGGCTGGGAGAGGAATAACTTCAGCTGCGAAAGGTAACACTAGTGTACCCTGATGATGGCATTAGATACTTATTTTCAAGTTTCTTCTGAAGACAAATTTTAATTGATACTTGAAAAACAGGAAGAGCATGAAAAAGAGGACTCAGTGTAGTCTCTAAGGGCTGTTGAGCCTGAAGAGGTACTGGAATGCGGTGCCTGCCTTGTGTTGCAGGCTTCAGCAGTTTAGGCCCAGATGACCGTGGGTCCCACCTGCCTGACAGCAGGGCACACAGGTGCTGAGCAGTTGGCCATTACTGGGCTGTGAAAACAGCATGAATGGGGAATGGGGATTGTGGGCAAAGCAATACAGTCCACGTGTTTGCAGGTGGGAAAGTCAAACTCTGTCTTTATTCTTTTACCATTTTATTTGGGATAGGTAGCAGCACCACCTGGGAAGACCCTTGGGAAGGAGGAGAAGGAATCTGTTGGATGGAAATCTTACCTTTGAGCCTCAGTTATATTTAATGCCTAGTTTAAGCCCTTTTCATATTAGACTTTCCAACAGCAAGTCAAGGGAAGTCAAGCACTGGAAGGAAGATGGGCTCAGAGGAAAGGGAGTCTCGCTCCGTCCTCCAGGCTGGAGTGCAGTGGCGCGATCTTGGCTCACTGCAAGCTCCGCCTCCTGGGGTCAAGTGATTCTCCTGCCTCAGCCTCCCAAGTGGCTGGGATTACAGGCCTGTGCCACTATGCCTGGCTAATTTTCATATTTTTAGTAGAGACGGGGTTTTGCCATGTTGGCCAGACATGCCATGAGGTCAGGCTGGTCTCGAACTCCTGACCTCAAGTGATTCGCCTGCCTCGGCCTCCCAAAGTCCTGGGATTACAGGTGTGAGCTACCGCGCCAGGCTGGAAAGGTTCTTTTAAGAGTTCCACAAAGTGGCCAAAGGTTTGTTCTTGCATTTCATCATGCATATGCCTTGGAGTTATGTTTTTGGAAACGACTTAAGAAAACAACTTTCCAGGTAATATGCAGCTGGTTCCCATCTTTCTAGCATCTCTGTCTTTGACTGATGTGACGCCATACGTTCCTGACAGTTAACGTCGGCTCTGGTAGGGGTCTAATACCAAGTACAGTCATAGCTCAGCCATGAAATAGGGCCTTCTAGATAGGCCAGATTCAGTGCCCTTTCCAACAGATGCCTCTCCATCCCCCACACCTCCTGACTCCACCAAAATGAAGTGGAAGTATGTCTTGAGTTGCCCACTTCTTCTGCGTCTGATCAGGCACATGTCAAGAATGTTGGCTGGTGATGGGCTCAAGGCACAGCCCACTTCACTGAGTCGTGCATGCGTGCAGGCTTGATTGACACTGGCAAAATCTGTAAGGATATTTCTAGACATTCCAAGTGATTGACTCCTCTGAGGAAATGAAACATTAAAAAAAATATATATATATACATGTATATTTAATTATTTTTTTAAAACCACAATTGAAAAAATTCTTTGCCACTGGGTAGAATTAAATCTGACAGGAAACCCTAGGAGTTTTTATTAGTACCATTATTGTTTTCTTTGGCTCCATGTATTATGTCGGTAAAATGACAAAAAAAAAAAAAAAAAGGAAAAAAATTGTAAAAGGCAAATATTTTGTACAAAAATACAAAGTTTTAAAAGCTCTTTAAGTATATTTCATATTATTACTAAGAGTTGGCCTATATATCTGTATGTCTGCATATTTTTCCTACACTTGGGATTTTTAGAAACGTATGGTACTGTTTACACAGTATATGCTTAAGTTCTTCCTATAACTCAACAATCAATGATAGCCTTTTTCTGATTGTAGTGTTCCATACTTCGGAAGATATAATTTGAATAATTGCATGGTTACTGACGGAGGAAAATCTATGTGATTCAGTCCATGTGCACAATGAATTTCAGCATATCACCCTGGGGAACATTTTAGTTCCCAAGTCTTTGGGTAATGATGGATGGTAAAACACTAGCTGTCAATTTTTTTTCAGTAATTGGTTTTCAGTGCTTTTTTTTTCAATCTGATGAGAAGGTGATGCAATTAGAAAGGAGTGTCCTTTGCCTTTGAGAGCTGAAAATTTGCTCATGTGATTCCATCACAGTCCATTATAATGCAGATGACAGTACTAAAAGAGAGAAATAAGAATGGGCATTAGTTTTTCTTAAATAATAAAGTTAAAGTGCAATTCAAAAAAAAGAAACGTGTATTTTTATAGAACAGTGTCTAAAATACATCATTCAACAATGCTTATATTTTCAAAGAAACATCTAGAAGATCTTATTCAGATGAAAAGCTAAGTTCCATTTTGAAAGAGCCTATTCTGGGGAAGCCTGGTCCCTACTCAAATCCCAAATGGCCAAACAAAGCATACAAAAGACAAATCTGAGTTACTTGTCACCATCAATTATAATCTCTTGTTTAGATATCTGTGTTTTTCCCCCTCAACTGACCCAGCTGTGAGTTCCTATGTGTCTTAAGGTCCCTAGCACTTGGACCAATGCCTGACACATCAAAGGTGCTCAATAATTGTCTGCTGAATGGCAATATGGATAATTTATGCCCCAGTTACTTCCAAAAATAGTTTGACCAAAATATATTTGAGGTTTTTGTTTACTGCCAACTTTTTAAATGAACAGCTTTATTGAAATACAATTCACAAATTGTATAATTCACCCATTTAAAGTATATAATTCAGTGGTCTTTGGTATATTCACAAAGTTATGCAATTTAGAACCAATCTAGTCTAATTTTAGAACATTTCCATCACCCCAAAAAGAAACCCCATACCCATTTGCCTTCATTCCCCATTTCCCCCATCCCCATCACAAACTTTTAATCTCATTCTGGTGAAGAAAACGAAGATGCCGCATGCCAAAGAAGGTCGTGTGTTAAATGAAGCTGTAGGTACACAGCCTTTGAAGTCAAGAAAATCTCCACAAGCTGCTTTGGCTTATGAGCTTATAAGCAGCACAGACGATCTCTCTCTATTATGGATCACAGGATCTGGCCTATAGTAGATGCTCAGTAGATACTCGTGGAACTGAATGTGTGGCCACCTGGATTAGCTGTGTATGAATGTCTATGAAAAAGGACTAATATTGGTGCTATATCTTCTTTCTTTCTTTCTTTCTTTTTTTTTTTGAGACAGAGTTTCACTCTTGTTACCCAGGCTGGAGTGCAATGGTGTGATCTCGGCTCACTGCAACCTCTGCCTCTTGGGCTCAAGCAATTCTCCTGCCTCAGCCTCCTGAGTAGCTGGGATTACAGGCACATGCCACCACGCCCGGCTAATTTTGTATTTTTAGTAGAGATGGGGTTTCTCCATGTTGGTCAGGCTGGTCTCAAACTCCCCACCTCAGGAGATCCGCCTGCCTCGGCCTCCCAAAGTGCTGGGATTACAGGCATGAGCCACTGTGCCCGGCTGGTGCTATATCTTAAAGAACAATTAACTCACAATATAAGATACTTATCTGGGTCAGTTAGTTTAGCATTCGTTGAGTACTTCCTACATGTGAGGCACACTTATTATTTAAATCTTCACAACAACCTTGTGAAGAAGATGCTATTACTATTCCCCTGAGGTTAATCACCTGCCCAGTTAATAAATAGCAGAACCAGGACTGAAACCTAATTGCAGAGCCTGCATTCAGGGCCCTTGTACTCACCACCCCTCACCCTTTCATAGGACATAAGCCGGCAGCTCCCTCTTAAATCCCATCTACGGCTCACCTGTCTCTCTGTCTTTTTCGCAAATGAAGTTATTGACGTCTTCACATTGGAAATCGTTCCACTGCCCAGCATAAATCAAGCCAGCACAGTCTTCTCCTGGCCCGTGGCCATGACCCCAGTTATCCGGCTGTCCAGCTTTCCAATTTCTTTTAGCAAAATAGAAATTGAATGTTATTTGCACAGTAATGCACAGCTTTTCTTTACTCAAGAGCAGCAGAGAAATATAAAAAAACAAAACTGAAGCATGTCATTTATGCTGGAATGAAAATGCAGTTTAAGAAGCAGTACATGTTCTTATTCAGAGTAAGGAGGAGCTGTTTTGGAGAGTAATGTGTAATGCAGCATCTCCCTGCAGGCCTGTGATCTTTGCTACCATGAACCAAACTCACTACGCTGGTTCATCACAATGCGGAGGGAGTGGATCTTGCTTTGGGACAGTTAGATGAATGATTTTCTAATGTGTACTGGAATGCTCACTTCTGGGCATGAGTGCATATATGTGTGTGAATATCTATTCATTATGAGGACATGATACACACACACACACACACACACACACACACACACACGGTCTTGTGAGAACCCAGAGGGACCTTGTACATTTCAGTATCTTGCCTCTAACAAGTCCAAGAGCCAGGAAGAGAAAGTGAAAGACTTTTGAAATACATTTACAAGAACCTACAATTACAAATAACTGGTTATGATTATCTGGCTGAGTTGTAGAAGGTTGATCGCTTTAGAAATAAATAGTAATTTAATCTTACTGAAAATGACTCCTACATTTCACTGCCTTTTTTGAGAGAGAGATTCTTAAAAACAAGTTTCTTTAGGATGAGTTCACGTGGGGCTTTTAACTTGGATGCTGTGGCTCGGAACAGCACTTTGCCACAGATAACAGTTCTTGATTCTGTTTCCATGAATAAATCAGGTGTGCTTCCAGACTTACCCTTTGAAGGCTCAATCTTGTCTAAGAAGCAGATTCATTCACAGAAGCTTGCAGCTGCTGCCTGAGAGGACAAGCCAGCCTCACGTGGAGGGTCTGGAAGAACATCTGCAGCAGAGGGTGCTTCCCATAAACAATGACTCATTACCGCACTGGCCACAGAGTGTCCTCAGGTCACCCGAGAAGACAGCCTGTATGGCCCTGCATGTCTGGACAATAAGACCCGCAAAACCAGAGGGCAGCGTGAAAGGACGGTTGAAGTCCATGGTCAAAGGATGGGGACAGGGTAGAACTGACTCCCCCACACCAAATGTGTATTTTGGGATTTTAAAAAAATGAATATGAAGGCTGGGCGTGGTGGCTCATGCCTGTAATCGCAGCACTTTGGGAGGCTGAGGCAGGTGGATCTCCTGAGGTCAGGAGTTCGAGACCAGCCTGGCCAACAGGATGAAACTGCATCTCTACTAAAAATACAAAAATCAGCTGGGCATGGTGGTGGGCACCTGTAGGCCCAGCTACTTGGGAGGCTGAGGCAGGAGAATCGCTTGAATCCAGGAGGTGGAGGTTTGCAGTGAGCCAAGATCATGCCACTGCACTCCAGCCTGGGTGACAGAGGTAGGCTCCATCTCAAAAAAATATAGATATTAATCAAGTGGCCTCAATTAAATAAACCTAGTGATGAAAGAGAATTCAGAGGAAACCATCGATTGGTGAGAGTAAAAATGGGATGCTACTTAGAAGGGAGAGTTAGAAAATAGTCTCACTCACTCACTCACTCACTCACTCACTCACTCACTCACTCACTCACACCAGGCATCCATAGCCCTCCTGCTATGAGCCAGGTATCATCTGGGTGATGGCAACATAGCAGTGCAGAGAAGAGACAAAGTCCCAACTCTTAGAGCTTACATAACAGACGAGTCACAATGAGTTCAACATTTCAGCCTGTGACAATCTCAGCCCGACACCAGATAGAGATGAAGTTGGAAGGAAAAGTAGTTTACTTTCACATTTGCTTTTTTTGTGTAACTCTTTCCACCTTGTGAGATTCTTCTGGAGATGTCAGCAATGCCTGAGCAGTTTGATCTTGTGGATGTACATTTTATTCATTTCTGCCAGTAATATGAGGGGGTTTGATTCCACTTTTGTTTATAAAATTTGAGATCTATGACTCCTGAATGTATAATGATAGGATATTTGATATTCTTGATTTCTCAGTTAATTGGGAAATTGTATAACTACGACTTCTTTGGGCTTAGAAGTCCTGCTTAATGTTTTCCCTTTGCGTTTCCTTTTAAGTCGTTTTAAGTTCAATAAATAAAAAGGATGTAACAACCAGGCAGAGAAATAACTGAGTGATAAGAAAGGAGATAATCTTTATCACCTTTCTCCATTTGATTTTCCAGGTCACTGGAATTCTTTACATACAGTGCTCAAGGCTTTCCTTAGGACTAAAAGCAGAATGCAGTTCTATGAGCAGAGGTGACTGCAGTAGGCCAGAATGGGTGGAAAGTGGGTAGCCTGAAGGCAGGCTGCAGGGACAATTTATTCTGTGGACTGACCACCCAGAGTCTCAAAGCATCTCTTCAGCAAAGCTAAAATCACATGGAGAGATTTGCGGGAAAACCCCTCAGTCTGCGTGTTTATAATAAAATAGCACATAACATGTCAAATAAGCATAATGTATATATTTTGGAGAAGAATGTCAGCTTAAACAGTGCCTTAACCTCATTCACAGGTAGATTCTGGCAAGATGAATGGCTGAAGTCTGGGGCTCAAAGCCCCGAATTCTACATTATCATACACATGTCACAGAAGTGAGTGGTAGCAGCACATACATGTACTTGGACATCATACTCTGAGTACACCAGGAATCTTGGAAATGCTTGGACTGACTGCTCTAGTGAGCTGGAAACACACACACACACACATCAAGTATATATATCTAAATATAAGATATTTAGAATAGGATTTAGAGGCTGGGCACGGTGGCTTACACCTGTAATCCCAGCACTTTGGGAGGCTGAGGTGGGTGGATCACCTAAAGTCAGGAGTTCAAGACCAGCCTGGCCAACATGGCGAAACCCCATCTCTACTAAAAAAATACAAACATTAGCCAGGCCTGGTGGCAGGCGCCTGGAGTCCCAGCTACTGCGGAGGCTGAGGCATGAGAATCGCTTGAACCCAGGAGGTGGAGGTTGTAGTGAGCCAAGATCACACCACTGCCCTCCAGCCTGGGCGACAGAGCGAGCCTCCATCTCAAAAAAAAAAAAAAAATTGAATTTAGAATATAGGACCGTAGAATGAAAGAGCCTGGAAGAGAACCTTTAGCATCCTCTAATTCAGCCTAGCGCAGTGGCTCACACTGTAATCCCAGCACTTCAGGAGGCTGAGGCAGGAGGATCACTTGAGGCTGGGAGTTCAAGACTAGCCTGGGTAACACAGTGAGAACCCCCCATCTCTATAAAACATTTAAAATAAATTAGCCAGGTATGGCAGCTGATGCCAGAAGTCCCAGCTACTCAGGAGACTAAAATAGGAGGATCACTTGAGCCTGGGAGGTTGAGGCTGCAGTGAGCCATGATTGTGCCACCGCACTCCAGCCTAGGCAACAGAACTAGACCATCTTAAAAAATAAAAAATAAAACACAAAAAACTAAAAGCACAATGTATGATATTATATGAAGCAGTCTGCATAGACAGAAAGGCAGCACATTTTATCTTTGTGATGTGAAGATGAAAGCTGTGACTTGTAATTGTGATAGCACACTCCCACCAAATGATGTCCTGTGGACAGAGGAACAGAAGAGCTTCTAGTGTGTTTGGGAGATTCTCAGGAAGACTGTCACATCTCTGGTGATCCAAGGTAGGCAACTGCAAGCAGGGTAGGCAAAAAAGCTCCCTTAGCATTCTGCTGAGCAGGTGGGCAGTACCCAGGTCCCATATGTGTTCGGCTCCCACAGGTCTAGCAGGCAGCCTCCATTAACAATGACAGTCTGCACAGTGACATGCTTATACCTACATTCATTACACCAAGAGTGAAAGGATCAGCCCTTTTTTTTTTTTTTTTGAGACAGAGTCTTGTTCTGTCTTGGAAAAAAAAAAAGAAAGAAAAAAGAAAAAAAGCCAAGGCCAGAATGCAGAGGTGAGATCACAGCTCACTGCAGCCTCAACCTCCCAAGCTCAACTGATCCTCTCACCTCAGCCTCCTGAATACCTGCGACCACAGATGTACACCAGCACACCCAGCTAATTTTTAAGTTTTTTGTAGAGATGGGGTCTTGCTATGTTGCTCAGGCTGGTCTCGAACTCCTGGGCTCAAGCAATCCTCCTGCCTTGGCCTCCCAAAGGAAAAGATCAACTTTGACATGTTCCTGTTTTATAGATCCTTTCTACTGTTGGTTTCACTGCTTTCCAGTCTTTATTATTTCCTTCCTTTGACTTACTTAGGGATTAATTTGTTCTTCTTTCTCTACCCTGGTAAAGTGGAAGCTTAGATAATTGATTTTCAACCTTTAAACAATGCTTCTAATATATGTATTTTAAAGCTATAACTATACCTTTCTAAATACTATTTTAGCTGCACTCCACATATTTTGATATGTTTTCATCTTCTTTGAAACATTTTCAGATTTCCTTTGTGATTTTTTTTTCTTTGACCCATGGGTTATTAAGAAATGTGTGATTTAAAATAATTGGGATTTCACAGATATTTTTCTATCTATGTCTAACTTAATTATTTTGGTCAGAAAACATACTCTATATAGTTCTAGTTTTTTTTTTTTTTTTTTTTTTTTTAATACTGCCCCAGTATTAGGATTCGCTGGGTTGAATGGTAGTTCTGTTTTAATCATTTTGGTTTTAGAACCAACCATGTAAATACATTTACTGTTCAAAATCTTTTTTTAATTTTTTTTTTTTTTTTTT